ATTTAGCAACTTTAGCAGGGGTCCAATGCCACCTGAAGAACATTTTATATATGTTTTCTTTATATGCCGTCACACTCATATATTTTATTGATCTCCATGTTTTTATCCACTGATCCATTTCTATTGTGTGTCCTATCTCTTTTATCCAGGCTTCCATTGACATTTTTATGATCTCTTCTTGTAGCTCCTCCTCTAATAGCTTTGTATAGAATTTCTGAATTAACTTATCACTGGAAGAAAGCCAAATTTTATCAATTTCATTTAAGGTAGTGAAAAATCCTATTTTTTTTATCTTCAATGTATCTTGATTTTAATACATTTTTATCCCACCAAGATAGGTTTATATTTTGTGTTTTTAATATCTCATCTGTTTTCAGTTTGGCTTTTTTGTTTAATAAGTTGCCATAAGTTTCTTTAATTTCCCCTATTATCAGTGACGGTTTGGCAAATGCTTCTATCGGAGATATCCGCAGAGGGACTTTAGTGTAGAATTTGAGTTTTATTATATTCCAGACTTTCATGAGAGCACTTCTTGTTATGTGTGTATGGAAGTTGGCGTGAATTTTATCCTTTCCATACCATAGCCTCTCACATCTTCTAACTCAACCCAATCTTTGATCCATATCATCGATGCTGCGAAATAGTACAGCTGCCAATTAGGCAATGCAAATCCTCCTCTTTTTTACTGTCCTGGAGATCTTTAATTTTTATTCTCGGTTTTTTAGACTGCCATATAAATTTACTTACAGTTTTCTCTAGATCCTTAAAAAAATTGTAATTTTTAAGTATTGGTAAGTTTTGCGCCAAAAACAGGAATCTTGGAAGAATGTTCATTTTTATTGTCGCTATTCTGCCCAGTAACGAAAGATGTTTTTTCTCCCAATGATTTAAATCTTTTTAAATATCATTTAGAAGTTTTACGTAGTTACTTTCATATAACATTGAAGTGTTACCTGAAATCAAAATTCCTAGGTATTTTGCTTTCTGCACTACATCCATTTTTGAAATCTCCTTTATTTTTTGTATTAACTTTTGAGCACAGTTCTTGGCTATGATTTTAGTTTTTGGGAAATTGATTTTAAATCCCGCTAGCTACCGAATTCCTGTATAACTTCTATTAAATATGATAAATAATGTTCCGGTTCTTCTCATATAAAAATCAAGTCATCTGCAAAGGCTTGTAATTTGAACACTGAGAGTAAAAGGGGAAGTGTTCAAATTACAAGCCTTTGCAGATGACTTGATTAATTAACGACCTTTTATCATTTCATTATTTCTTATTTTATCAATTAACGATTCTATAGTAAATATGAACAATAGTGGGGATAGCGGGCATCCCTGTCTTGTGCCTTTCTGTATTGGAATGCTTTGAGAGGTTTCTCCATTGATTAAAATTTTGGCACTTTGCTTGCTATATATAGCTTTTATCATTGCGTAAAAATTGTTCCCACATTCCCACGCAGTTAATTTTTGTAGCATATATGCCCAGTTAATGTTATCAAACGCCTTCTCTGCGTCTAAAAGTATTAACATCATCTACTTCCCTGGATGTAGTTCATAATATTCTAATACATTAATTATAGTTCTTATATTATTTTATATCCTTCTTTTGGGTAGAAATCCTGATTGGTCTTTATGTATTATTCGAATTAAGACTTTTTTCAACCTATTAGCCTAGTATGCAAATCTTTTTTCTCTTACCTGCCATGGGGTGTCTTTCAGAAATTTAACCTCGTTATTATCTGTAACTACTTGGTTCTGGCTCGCTACCTGCAGGGTTCTATCTCTTAGCTCTTTTTTGCTGAATTTGATGTGTACCTCTCTAGGCGTTTTATTTTTCCTTGCGTATGTAGTGTTCTTCCTGTAGATTAGGTCAATGCTTTTTTTCTACTTCTTCTTTTGACCCTGCTTCTAGTTCTTCTGCTAGTAGTTTGGCCATTTCACCTTTTAGGTCTTTCCCTTTAGATTCAGGGAAGTTCTGGCATCTAATCACATATGCTGCTCTGTCCATTTCCAATGATATTAGGGTTTGTTCTATCCTCTCTGTGCTAGCTTTCAACTCTCGGAAGTCTTCTTGAAGTTCCTTGTTGTTTTCTTCTAGTTTTCGCAGGTCCTTGGTGTTTTTTTCCATTTCCTGTTTACGTCCATTTATTTTTTAAGTTCTCCTGTATTAGCAAAAATAGCCTCCATTTTTGTATGTATGGGTTCCAGCTCTGCTTTTTAGCACTGTTGGTAAAATCGTTTCCACTGTTTATACTTGTTGTAAACCACCCAGAGAGATTTGGCTATGGGTGGTATAGAAATGAAATTTTTGTTGTTATTGTTGCCTTTACTCTTTTTGCAACCAGAGTCATAACAGTAAACCCTCCTCCCACAATAAACCTCCTTCCTCAGGAAAACATGGAAGAATTTAAAGGTTGCTACTGAAGAAGTGGTCATGTGATTTGACAAAAGCTGCTAGAAATTTTGTCACATGCAGGGTAATCAGGAAAACAGTAATAATAATAATAATAATAATAGCAATAACAATAACAATAATATCTGTGTCCAGGAGAGGCAGCAGTGGAGTCCGGGAACTGCTCCAGGGCTGGTCGTGGTGGCAGCATCCAAGAGTCATCCCAGAGTGGCTTCCAGGCACCACTGTGGCTGGGCTTGGAGGTGGCTGCGAAGGCCTGGAGCTGTACTGGACTTGGTGACGGGGGGGCAGGTTGAAAGAGAGGACGGGGGGATTCCTCCCCACACACAAATCTCCTGGGCCCTCGCTTGTCAAATCACGGATTCCTCTACTCCAGGGTCCTTTTTCCCAGAGCAGCCAACAGGATGACCTGGAGACCCCATAAGCAGAGTGCAAAGGTACCAGTTTCCCCTGTTACCCCTCCCCAGGAAATTGGGCATCTGAGCGTGGAGAATTGATTTCACCATCATGTGTAAAAGCCATCCTTTATGCATTTGTCCAATCCCCTTTTCAGATCAGGTTAGCTAGCGTCCATCTTATTCCACTGGATTCCTAAGTGTTATGCGGAGAAGCATGTGAAGTTTGGTATAGTGGTATAGACTCTAATCTGGGAGAACCTGGCTTGATTCCCCACTCCTCCACTTGCACCTGGCTGGATGACCTTGGGCAAGCCGTAGTTCTGATAAGAGCTGTTCTTGAAAAAAGAGCAGTTTCTGTCAAGAGCTCTCTCAGCCCCACCTACCTCACAGGGTGTCTGTTGTGGGGAGGGGAAGGGAAAGGAGTTTGTAAGCCGCTCTGAGACACCTCTGGGTAGTGAAGGGCGGGGTATAAATCCCATCTCTTCTCTTCTTCTTCTTCCTTTTGTCTGTCTGAAATCCAGCCATTTCATTGAGTAGCCCTGAGTTGTACTGTTGTGGAAGGGGGGGAGGCATTCCCCCACACACACACTTCCTCAGCACAACTGCAAAGGCTATTTCAGGCTAACTTTAGCATGTCTACTTCGCAGCCACATGGCCTGTGCAGTCTGAAAGTGCGGGCGGCCTTCAGCGAGCACCACTGTTGCCGTGGGCATGGCAAACCCTCTCCAATCAGCCTCCTCTTTAATTGGTTAGGAAGAAGCCATTTCCCTCGAAAAATTTATTTGTTGTGAACCTGAAGCTTCTCTGGAGGGGGGAAAACCCACAGTTGTATGCTATAAACCTTCGATCTTGCTATTAAAAAAGCAAAAATTGGAACACTCGTCCTGTCCGGGGAGCATAAATCTTTTCCAGTGGACACCACGATGCAGCTACTGCCGTCTGCACCACCCTTTTCCGTTGCATCATAAACCGCTCTGCAAGCCGCACCATTACATTTTGCAGAAAAGAGAAGAAACGGGGATGGAGGCAGGTTGTTTCGCGCCGTTCCTCTTTAACGGCCTTTCCCCTACATTCAATTTGCTCCGCTTTGGTGCTCGGTAATGGCGTCTCACACAAATGAACTCTCTTTCCGCAGGTTTTATTTGGGGAGAAATCAAGGAAATGTGGGACGGCGGCTTCAATGAGTATGTGCACGACTGGTGGAACCTGATGGATTTTGCAATGAATTCTCTCTACCTGGCAACCATCTCCCTGAAAATTGTCGCATATGTCAAGGTACCGTAACTTGGAGCATGTGTGCCAAGTCCGTCGCAGCGGCGTTCTCCATGAATTTCTTCTGCCCTGCCTCCTACTCTGTTGTGCATTTTGGGCAGAGCACAGTGCAGATATAATGCTGGCTCCCTGTAAATGGTGGCTGGCCTTGAGGGAAATGTACTTCTCTGTTTTCAGACACAAATCCCCTCCGTCCTTTACCGGCAAGATGGTTCAGAGTTAAAGCTGCAGCATGTTGAAACATGGTTTAATGCTAACCCTGGTTCTCTGTTAACTGTGGATTACGATTCTGCTTCAAATAAACCCTGGTTTCAAACCTTGTTTGAGATGGGAGCAGTGTTCCCTCTAAGCTGAGTTAGTGTGAGCTAGCTCACAGTTTTTTAGCCTCTGGCTCACACATTTTTGTCTGAGCTCAGGAAGAATGGCTCCAGAGCAAACTAATCTATGCAGCAACCAAATCGCTCGCTCACAGCTTTAATGCCAGCAGCCCACAAAGTAGATTTTTTGCTCACAAGACTCCACAGCTTAGAGGGAGCATTGGATGGTAGCCCTGGTGAGTGTTAATCGTGCCAAGCTACGCATAGCCAATGCCAATGGAATGCTAAAGCGAGGGTAAAACTAAGGAGAAAGAGGGGGCAAAGGAGTGCCCAGTCCTCTGACTAACTCTCAACTTGCAAACTATGATTTGCAGGGAGTTGGCACTGTGTCTGCATGGGAATGTATCTTTGTATGTGTATACTGGGAGATAAAATTGGGACTTCTTCTCTACCGCAATCTGTACGGCATAAACAGTTGGATTTCTCTGTGCGAGTAGTGGTGCATGGCATTTGGGGCAGCCAGGGGAGCAATTGCTTTTTTGCCGTTTTGGAAAAAAGTAACCATGAAATAACAGAAGTGGGTAGCATCAGTAGATCTCGTACAAGATCAAGAGAAAAATAAAAAAGATTGTGAGAGGGAGGGCAGGAAGGGGTGTGCCAGTGCTCGGCTCCCGCGGCCCCTTCTTACATGCCCAGGGTAATGCCAATTACCACTTTCGGGTCAGGAAGGAATTTCCCTCCAGGCCAGATTGGCCCAGAGATCCTGGAGGTCTTTTGCCTTCCTCTGGGCACAGAGCAGGGGGTCACTGGGGGAATGGGGGGGTAGTTGTGAATTTCTTGTGTTGTGCAGGAGGTTGGACTAGATGACCCTTGAGGTCCCTTTCAGCTCTATATTTCTGTTTATAAAAAAGAGGGTGAGCGGGTCTGGAGACCAAGTCCTACGGGGAAAGGTTGAAGGAGCTGGGTATGGTTAGCCTGGAGAGGAGACGACTGAGGGGTGATATGATAACCATCTTCAGGTACTTGAAGGGCTGTTATATAGAAGGCAGAGCAGAGTTGTTTTCTATTGCCCAAGAAAGTCGGACTGGAAGCAATGGACTGGAAGTAAATCAAAAGAGCTTTCAGCTAAAGATTAGGAAGACCTTCCTGCCAGTTAGGGCAGTTCCTCAGTGGAACAGGCTTCCCTGGGAGGTGGTGGGCTCTCCTTCTTTGGAGGTTTTCACCAGAGACTACATTTTTCTTTTAATTTTTTAATTTATTTTTGTATTTATTCCCCGCCCTCCCCACAAGCGGGCTCAGGGCGGCTTACAAGAGAGCACAAGTGCCCACGCATAAAAACAAGATAAAACAATAAAGCCATTAATAGCAACAAAAATAAAGTGCTCAGTAGAACCAAGATGGTCTCCGAATAAATTACAAGATGATATCGGTCTTCCATTGGAGGTAGTATTGTCCTGTGGTTGGTACATAGCCAGTCCAGTGGTACCAGTGCCACACAATGTTATGGCAGATCTTCCAAGGGCCGTCCCTCTAGCCCAGTTGTTACCAACGCTGATGGTGGTGGTGGTAGTGTGAAAGCCTGGCGGAAGAGCTCCGTCTTGCAGGCCCTGCGGAACTGCATAAGGTCCTGCAGGGCCCTGATCTCCTCCAGGAGCTCATTCCACCAGGTAGGAGCCACCACTGAAAAGGATCTGGCCCTGGTCATAGCAAGCCTTACCTCCCTGGGGCCTGAAATAACCAGGCCATCTGAGAGCAATGCCCATTATGTGAATTTGGCCAGCTCATGAGAAGGAGGGCAGAAAGGGAAGAGCCAGTGCATGGCTCTCATGGCCCCTTCTTACATGCGATCACCACTTTGGGACCAGGAAGGAATTTTCCTCCAGGCCAGATTGGCCCAGGGATCCTGGAGGTCTTTTGCCTTCCTCTGGGCACAGAGCAGGGGACAGTGGGGGAGTGGGGAGGAAGGTAGCTGTGAATTTCCTGCGTTGTGCTGCAGGTTGGACTAGAGGACCCTTGGGGTTCCCTCCCGGTTCTATGTTTGTATGTAAAAAAATGGTGCAAGTCCCAATGCATTGTGAGTGCCCGGCTTCAAAGGAAACAGTCCTTGTTTCGAGCTTGCAATTTCAGGTGCCGGCGGCTGAGCATAAAGTAAGATAAGAATTACCCCTTCCAAGAAGAGGTGGTGTGTGCTTGAAGCACTTTGGGGATTCTCTTAAAAGAAAAAGGAGGTGGGCAAGGAATTGTAGGGGGAGGGGATAAAGGACTCCCCCTCCAAAGCAAATCTCCCAGCAAATACTGTGAGACGGTTCATCCGCCTGGTCCCATCTTCCTCCATTTCCCCCCCCCATCTCTTTAACCAACGCGCTTCCCTATACGACACCCTGTCTCTTCCCCACCACCACCCCCAGTCCATGACAGAGAAGGTGGGCAAGGGTCCAGTCATTCTCTCGTGTCCTTCCCCTCTTCTTTTCAGTGAGGCAAAGGGCATGTGATCATGCCCCGTGGCTGTCAGTTGAAGGCAGTGGGTGCCCTTGGCCTTTTCTGCCAGAAGCACCAACATTTCTTGCCCTGGTCCTGTCTTGAAAAGTAGCCGTACATTTCCACGATCCGACTTTGCCAAGAATATGGGCTTTCCTGGTCTCTGCCCCTGGTAAACCAGTGTCTCTGTCTTCTACATGGGGGACATCTTTCTCAAAGTTTGCCTTCTCTCTTTTGAGTGCCTTTGAGCCTGTCCCTCCTCCATGGAGCTCAGGGCGATGGGCATGAACTTTCCCATTTTATACTCGCAACAACCCTGTCAGGCTGAGAGAGAATGGCAGGCACAAGGTTAACCAGTGAGCTTCGTGGGTGGGAGATTTGAACCTGGGTCTTGGCGGTCCTAGTCCAATAGTCCAGCTACTGTTCCACGCAGACTCCCCAGTGCGACTTCTTAGTGTGAGTTTGTACAAGTCACTGTTCTTCAGATTTCATTCCCTGTCAAGTAGATAGATAAATGCTCTATTTATCTGTACAGGTCTCACATATTATGCTTACTCGGTATGTTGGTCTTAAGACCGTAATAATTAAACTAAACTAAGCTATCTGTACAGGTTTTTCTTCCAAGCAGCTCCAGGAGAGCCAGTTTGGTGTAGTGGTTAGGAGCGCGGACTCTAATCTGGAGAACCGGGTTTGATTCCCCGCTCCTCCACATGCAGCCAGCTGGATGACCTTGGGTCAGTCACAGTTCTCTCAGAACTCTCTCAGCCCCACCTACCTCACAGGGTGTCCGTTGTGGGGAGAGGAAGGGCAGGAGATTGTAAGCCCCTCTGAGACTCTGAGTGCAGGGCAGGGTATAAATCCAACTCCTCCTCCTCTTCTTCTTCTTCTTGCAGTATCTATGGGTCTTCTTTCTCCCACTGTATCCCCATAGCAACCCTGTAAGGTAGGCTAGGTTGAGAGCATGTGGTTGGCCCAAGGCCACCCAGCAAACGGCATCTGTCCAATCCTCTTCCAATACCCTCACCACAACACTGCCAAGTGGACCTCCTGAGGGCACTTGGGTTTTGGCCCCTGTGTGACATGGACTGGATGGGCCATTGGCCTGATCCAACATGGCTTCTCTTATGTTCTTCTGATAGGACGAGAGATCTAACTGATCCCAACAGCCAAGTGGAAAGAGGTCTCTTGGTCTGGTAGTATTCTCAGTCTTGGAGGGCAGGGTGCAGAATGTCACGGTGTCTCCATATGTCCCAGTGGCCATTCGTGTTTTTTTTAATTTGTGTATTTATTTATTTAAAACATTTTTATTTCATGTGTCTGCCCAATTGAAGTCCCCAAGGCGGCTCACATAAAAACATTTGAGTGATTAAAAACTTTTTAAATGATAAAAATAGTTCAATAAAAACGTAAAACAATGACAGAACGAGGGAGGAGGGCCAAGAGGGGTTACTGGGGGTGTGCCGAACAAAACGAAAAAGTCTTCACCCACCAGCAGAGGACACTCACGGAGAGAGACAGAGGAATCTCCTTGGGGAGGGAGTTCCAAAGATTTGGCACCACAACGGAGAAGGCCCTTTCTCAGGTCAGGGGCACCCGAGGCAGGACCTCCAAAGATGACCAGAGTGAAGGGGCAGGTTTCGTATGTCCTTAACATAACAGTGTGGTGTAGTGGTTAAGTGGTTGGACTCTGATCTTGGAGAACCGGGTTTGATTCCCCACTCCTCCACTTGTACCTGGCTGGATGACCTTGGGCAAGCCGTAGATCTGTCAGAGCTGTTCTTGAAAAAAGAGCAGTTTCTGTCAGAGCTCTCTCAGCCCCGCCGACCTCACAGGCAATACTTCCTCTAAGCTGTGGAGTCTTGTGAGCAAAAATTCTACTTTGTGAGCTACTGGCATTAACCTTGTGAGTGAGCGATTTGGCTACTGCATGAATTAGTTTGCTCTGCAGCCATCCTTCCTGAGCTGAGACAAAAATGTGTGAGTCGGAGGCTAAAAAAACTGTGAGCTAGCTCACACTAACGCAGCTTAGAAGGAACACTGCTCACAGGGTGTCTGTTGTGGGGAGGGGAAGGGAAAGGAGTTTGTAAGCCACTCTGAGACTACTCTGGGTAGTGAAGGGTGGGGTATAAATCCAGTCTCCTCCTCCTCCTCCTCCTCCTCCTCTTCTTCTTCTTCTTCAGAACATAGGAGAAGCCAATGTTGGATCAG